GCGCCAAGTTCCAGCGCTTGCTGGGGGCCTCTATTGCCGAGATGTATTTTGATGTAGGCCCGCGGGGTCGTTTGGAGCAGCTCGAGGAGCTTATCCATGCTGCCGCCGCTCGTGTTCGTGACCTCGTCAAACACGAACTTGCGACCTCTCTGGGAATGAGGCAGCACTGGGCCTTGCGCGCTCTTCGGGGGTGGAGACCTGGGAAGGCATGGATGGTTCATCGTGCGATTCGCTGCTATCCCACGTTGCAGTCTCGCTTCTGCATGGCCACGTTTCAGCGCATCCAACTCGCCGGCCTGCGTGCCCTCATCCGCGTCAGTCAGATTCAGCTCCTGGATGAGGAAACCCGCGACGTTGAAGCCTCTTCTGCTCCACCCGAATTCAAAGCTTCGCATGCCTCACGTATCCATCGCATGCAGCAGTTGTGGCGTCGGAATCGCAGTCGTACCTATCTTACTTGTACTTACGATGAAGATGGCTTCCCGCGCGCGTCTGTTGACCGCTCCGCCGAGGTTCTCAAGGACTATCGGGCCCGCACCTTTGCCTCCCCGTCTCTGGGCCCCTCCTCCTGGCTTGAAATCGACGCCTTCATTCAGACTGTCCCTTCCCCTTTTATCTCAGGTCTAGAGTGCGCAGTATGCCTGGTGAGGATGGGCTACCTGATGGTGTTTGGAAGGTTCCAGATGCCTCTCGTTTGCTTTACGTTGTCTACCTCGCCCTCTTCACAGGTGAGATGTTGGAACTTCCGGTTGAGATGGGACGGGGTTTCATGGTGTTCTTCCGCAAAGGGCTAGATACTCGGGACCAGACCGATCACATTGTGCGTCGCCCGAGTTGCTCGCGCCCGCTGAGCGTGTCGAATTATGACATAAAGCTCCTCTCTGGCCCCATGTGCTGCACGCTCACCTCGAACGCGAGTTCGCTCATCCCCCCTTCCCAGGAATGCGTTGCTGGTCGTGACATGCCATCCAACGTTGTCGACGCCGAAGGATGGGGGTTGGAACGACACATTCTCGTCAGAAAACATGCGCGTCTCTTTCTCGCGGACTTCTGCGCCGCCGTCTCGTCTTTAGCGATCCCGTGGCTCCTACGCGTGCTTGAGCGGATGGGGGTCTGCAGCCACGTCTGCCCATTTTTCCGAAGGCTGCGCGTTGCCGCCGCGCGCTCGGACGGGGAGAGTTATGGTGAACTCTCCATGGAGAGGGGGCTCAAGCAGGGACGTCCTAGCAGCGTGCTCCTCTTTGCGCTCGAAGTCGACCCGATCCTTCGCTGGCTTTCGTGTCCCTTCACATTGACAGGCTGTTCGCCTGCGCCGATGACTTCTGTTTCGGGATCGTTGACATCCAACACTCGCTTGGCCCCCCCCTCTCCTTGCTGCGTCACATCGGAAAAATTTGCGGGGCGTCAACTCAACATTCGGAAGTGCCAGATCGTTGTTGTTGGCTCCCTGGACCTCGACCTTCCGACGAACTCCGTTCGGACTCTGAAGGGGAACTACAGGGTGATTCAGGTTCTCGAGGCTGTAATTTAACTAGGCATCTTTATTTGCCGTGGTGCCGACTCCATGGCGTGGACCGAGGCTTTGCCCAAGTTTCAGCAGCGCGCGCGGCTCTTTCGGCAACCGGGCCTGGGCCTAACCCGCTCCGTCGTGGCCTTCAAGATTACGCGCTCGTCCACCCTCTCCTTTATCATGCAGCTTCACCCTGTCGCCCACGCTCTAGCCCATGCCTACCGCGAAGCTGTCATGTATTTGTCTGCTGGTCCACGGGATGCTTTCTCCTATGGCCTCTGTGCGCAACTTGCTTCTTTTCGCACTCCCGTGGGGTTCCCTGCCATCCACGCGCTGCGAGAGCCATTTGTCTTCGGCGCATGATTCCTCACGCGTCCTCTGGGGCCCTTGTCGCGCACTTGGAGGCGCTCTCGGAGGACCCCGATCGCGCGATAGCTAGGATGCTGTGCGGGTGGTGGATGTAATCCTTCATCTCATACGTGCGTAAGCTCTATCACTGGCATTTCCTCCGCCGCGAACCCCGCCCCACCATTCTGACCTCCATCGGATCTCGGGGCCCCGCAAGTCCCTTCAGCGTCAACTCTACACAACGTTTTGGGATAGTGCCGCCTACCGTGAACATCCTAGACAATTTCTTGACGCTTCGCGTATCCCGCCAGTTTTGGCATTGCGCCCCATTGCCGTTGATTGACACGCCCTCTGGACTTTTCCTTGCGGGCCGCCGAACGAAAAGTATCCCCACCAGCCCATCCAGAAACTACGTCCAGGCAAGTTGAAGAGATCAGGGAAGTGGGGGAGAAACGAGAGGGACGGCCGATCCTTGCAAAGGATGAGGCGGAAGAGGAGGCCAGATGGATGGATGAGGGGGTGGCGAGGAATCGAGCAAAGGAGGGATGAGGAGAATGATGACGCTGGGTGGATGGTTGAATGCCGCTCGGATGCCTGTTGGAAGCCTTTTGGAAGCCCCTTCGGGCGTCTTGGGGGTCTCTTGGCGGTCAATGGGGGCTCTTGGGCGTCTTGGGTGCTTCGGGGGGGCCTCTTGACGCCGCTTGGGATCCTCTTGGGGGGCTATTGGGGGCCTGTTGGAGGCCTCTTGGGGCCTCTTGGGGGTCTCTTGGAGCCTCATGGCGGCCTCTTGGAGCCTCTTGGAGGCCTTTCGGAACCATCCTGGCAGCCTCTTGGAGCCTTTTGGGGGCTTCTTGGGGGCTTCCTCGCCGAGGCCGTTTTGGACGCTCTAACTACCAGCGCCCCTCCCCGTCCAAGTCCAGGGGAGGGGGTTACGGGGAGGGGTAAACCCCTTCCCGAAGGGGAAGGAGGGAACATGGAAGAGGAAATTCCATAAACCACTTACGCCGAGAGGGGTGGTGGGATTCTCCTTCGGCGGGTTCTCAAATGGTTCCCTCAGGCCACGGAGGCCACGATTGATCAGTTCTGCGTGAATGCCCACTTTGTGACACGTCGGACGCAGCACTACTTCGTGGTTGCTCCACTTCGCGTGCTCACGCAGGCAGTCTGTACCTCGTCGCGCTTCCATACTGCTCCTCAAGGTTGCCTAATGGGGTGCCCACCTGGCCCTGGCGTAGATCTTGATTCGGTTGATCAATATGTGCGTTGCCCTCGCCTCCTTCGCCTTTTCTTTCATTGGTTGGGACATGTTCTTATTTCGTCGTCGTTTATGTTTGAGGGATATCCCTGGCTCTCCTCCCCCTGCTGTTTTCTCCCTCGCCATGCTCGTCAAACGTTATGTTTGCTGCCTGTGTCGATGCCTTTCTCGCTGCTGATGCCTTTCTCGCTGCTCACTCTGCCAGGAGAAAGGGCCCCCCCGGCTCCCCTGAGGAGCACTTCGAGGCGAGCCTTCGCGTCACCTCCCGACGTCATATTTTTCTCGCCCGGTCGTGGCGGGCCCAGGCGGCTGCGCAGTTCCCCCTCCTTCCTCTGCCCCTTCTCCCTCTAGTGCGCGTGCTTTGACGGACCATGCGAGTCCAAGACCGAGGAGGGCCCCTGCCCGTCGGGGGCGCTGGCTCGAGGGGGCCTCGCAGGCGCTTAAGTTCCTACATTTTTGTCGCCTGCGTCCCCCCTTCCTGCCGGCTGTGGGTCGAGGCAGGGGCTTTCCTCCTCCCCTCCTCCTGTGCGGAGTGTGAATGCTGCACCTGGATGTCGGCCCTTCGTCCGTGGCCGTGCCCTCCAGGACCGCTCGTGGGGCCGTTGGGTTTCGTCTCGCGCCCCGTCCTCCGTGGGCGCCGCTCGCCTCTCTAGCGATGGCGAGAAGACGAGTTTGCAGTCTTCAGTGCATGCTGAGTCGACGCATGTATGGCACGGCGGTATCACCGCTCCTGGAGCTAAATTGTTCGTTCCAGGAGTGCCCCCCGCGGAGCAGACCCGAGGCGCGCCGAGCCACGACGAGTCCAAGAAAACATAAAAACACACGGAGGAAGGAGGACCCATTGGGAGGACTTGTTGGACACAGTCGACCCAGAGTGGCAATTTTCAGTGGACCAGGGCTCACAGTGTTGGCGTCGAAGCCAGAATGTATTATTTCTGGCAATCGGTGATCACGTTGGTTTGAATATGAAGCATTTTCTCTTCGCGCTGGCGTCTATGCTGACCGCCTCAAGGAACGGGGGGAAGCGGAGGGCACAAATTGAACACTTCGACGCGCAACATTGGCACTTGCTTCGATATATGCCTGGTGGTATTGCGCAGTGCTCGGCAACAGATCTTTGTGTAGGGCGCACCCGCACAATGCAGTTTGTTACGGATAGCCAAATCTTGGCGTATGTTCTTCCGGGCAGGGCGAAGCATGAAGAGCGCACCCACGCCCTCACAGATCCCGACGAAAATGGCGGACACTTCACTAACTACGAATTGGTGGCCAAGGGATGCAACAGGCGACCCAATCATATGGAGACGGAGGGATTCCAACAAAGAAACCGACTTTGTTTGAATTGGGCATTGGACGCGGAGGACGATTTCTGGTATCATAGTGGTCCCAAGAATACGACCGATTCGGATTTCAGATTGTTGGGTGGAGCGATGGGGGATGTCGCAACGAACGACCTGTATCTTCATACGCATGGACTCTCAAGGGCCAGCGCGCTGATTCCTCAATTGTGGTCGTCGCGTTGGGCCACCACGGGCGCCCCTGGAGCCGCGCACCAAAGGTCACTTTAACCCAGGGTCACTCCTACGCGCAGTCGACGCTAAATAAGGCATGTCCCCAACAAGGACGGGACCACGAAAACAACACACTTTTTGGTGGGACCAGCTGCGATTGTGAACCAACGTTTCACCACGAACCCGCGTCCTTTCTTAAATCTTGCATACATTAAATTCGGGCTTCCACGGGCAAAGTCCAACCACAATAAAGTTTAGCATATTACACGCACGTGTATTTACACACAGGTCACTTCCCCTCTTATCATTATCATCCCTTCCCTCCTTTTCCTCCTCGCCATCTTCGCCCTCCCCCTCGTCCTGCCTGGTTGTCCAGGTTGTGGACAGGGACGGGGCCGCCATCTGCGATTACTTTGCCGACTGGTGCCTTAAGGTCGCCTCCTTTCCACGCGGAATGCAAAGCCTGCGAGGTTGAAGCGGGGACGGACATACGTCACAGGACAGAGGCGGAGGGGGATGGGCAGGGAAGAGAGGGGGAATGTGATGGGTGGGAGAGGAGAGGGCCGAATGGGGAGGGCAGAAGGGGAAAGGAACAGGGGGGAAAGGCGGTGGATATAACCGACCAGATTGAGAGGTGGGGGGTGGAGCCAAAAGGAAAGAGCGAGGACGGAAGTGAGCAGAGACACGGGAGTGGGGGAACCGTTTTTTTGTTGTTTTCCGTCGTTGCCACGTGTTTATCGCAAGGTGTCTTGTTATTAGTTTCTCCTCTTTCTGTCCCGCTTCTTTTTCCTTACCATCCCCCCTCACTCCCCCTCTCCCCTTCCCTTCTCCCCCGTGCCCTCCCTGACCATCCCCTCCGCCCTCGACCTTCCATTCATCTGCGATTTCTCTCCATCACCCGTGCATTTCACCCCTGCTTCCTTCCGCCCCCTCCCCTCCCACTGCTCATCCGTTGTTTCTTGTCTTTTGTTGTCCCACTCCTCTTCATGTCCGTCCTTCTACAGTTCCGTTTCCTCTTCTTCTTTTTGTTGTGTTTTTTTTCAGTCGTATCTATCTCTCGTTTTGTCTCTCTCTCTCTCTCTCTCTCTCTTTATTTGCTTCTCTTTCTCTGCATCCCTCTCTCCCCGTCTTTCCCTCTCTCTCTCTCGCTCGTTCTCGCTCTCGTTTGTTGTTGTTGTTGTTGTTGTTGTTGGTGTTGGTGTTGGTGTTGGTGTTGGTGTTGTTGGTGTTGTTGTTGTTGTTGTTGTTGTTGTTGTTGTTGTTGTTGTTGTTGTTGTTGTTGTTGTGGTTGTTCTCTCTCTTTCTTTCTCGCATGTGCAGCGTGTACCAGACATGGACTCCCTCTTCCCCCGCTTACCCTCAGCCGCCCATTCCTCCCAGAGCGGCGCCTGGGCACAGGTCAAGGGCGGGCCTCTCGAGGTCTTCCGGGCCATGGACTCGGACGAGTCCTTGTCGTTGACGCCTCAGGAGACGGCGATGGCAGGAGGTCAGCTGGGGCGGCGGGATGATTACGGTGAAGATGCTGACGTAAAAATTGGTTTGGGCTCTTGATGGGGCTCGGGTTTTCGGGCTGTTTCTTAGATGTTTGTCGTGGGTTTTGTTCGTGGCCTGGGCACGCCGTGGCCAGAACAACCCTTCGCTCCTTACTATGCATTCCGTGTTATAGCACGCATGATGACTGTACGGGAACCCCTGAGCCACGACAGAAATCAGACGGCTGTTTTTGTTCAAGCTCTGGGCTCCAGAGGCGCGCCTCTGGGCCCTAGGGCCGTCGAGAACGGCTCTGGGTGGAACGCTGGTCGCGGGAAACGGTCAGAAAAAACATGCCATCGGATCGGATGTTGCCGAGGGTGTCCTTGGCCGAGTTTCAGTACCCCGGACGAGACCGATCGGCCGGGCATGGTTTTCAGCGACGCTGGGCGGCAACGGCGTGGTGGAGTGCTTCATTTTTGAGCAGAAGTGTCCGCCGCTCTTGCCGGCGAAGCTACTCGCCGGCCTCGAGTGCGCAATCGACTTTGCGGGCAACGTGCTGGTCGTGAATGACGTTGTCTTGCGTCGTCGCGTGCGGGTGCCCCTGGTGACGTGCCCCTCCGGCCACCGCTCCGTGGACCTTATGCAACGCCCGGTCGCGCTCTTCAAGGCCTCGCCTGAAATCGAGAAGCGGATGCCCAGGGCGCGCATCTTGAAGGGCCGCCGCCCGGCCGCCAGCTTCGTAGCCTGCTGTGCCTCTGCCGCCTGCGCTCGCAGTGTATCGCTCCGGGCGGCTGATCAAGAAAATCGGTTTCGACTTGAGCGGGCTCCGCGAGGTTACGAATAAGGAGGTGATGTGGTCAGGGGCTCCGGAGAATCCAGACCAGATGGTGGTCTGGGAAGAGATGCCGGACCAGGGCCGCCAGGAAAACCCGGACTTGGAGGCGACGCTCGACCTGGCGGCGATGACGAATGTGTAAGAGCAGGACTTTACTCCGGCCGCATGCTGCTGCCGACGGTGGTGCACCACTGGCGCCGCGTGGCCACCTGTCTCATTTGGCACGTGACGACCTACGCCCAGACGATGCTGGCCTCCTTAAGAGATGCCGAACCTTCGCAACCCGTCCGGGCGTGTCGACCGGGACGATCGCCCTCGCCCGTTTCGCGCGCGTTCCGAGTCGGAGAACCAGCACGGGAAATATGCCAAGCGCATGACGTGCACAGTTCGGGCGCGGCACGTGCGTTTCACGGAAGAGGAGAAGATCGAGAGGGCAAATCGCAGGTTCGAGATCGAGAGGGCCAAGGCTCAGAGGAGGAAGGCCCGGGGGCACATCAGGGCGATGAAGGCGGAGTCGAAGGAGCTGGTGAAAAGCTTCGGCGGAGGCGACCGCTGGACGGGAGATGCAGCAAGTTCTGGCAGACATGATCACAGTCAACGAGCCGCAGCACGTCGCGAACGACAGGGCGTTCTCTAGCATCAGCCGCGCGGTCCAGGAGCAGGGCGACCGCATGGAGACTGCGCTTCACCAGATGGGCTCGCGGCCACTTCCCCTGACGGGCGAGGGCCTGTAGAGGCTGGCGCATCTGGCGCAGCGCATTGCTTCGAGCCCGGCGCCGAGCCCAGCCTGGGCCCCACTGATCGGCGGCCGTGCGATTTCTGAAGCCGAGGAGGATCCGAAGCGGCTTTTCAGCAGGGGAAGCTAGGAGTCAGGCGCGCCTCGCACAGGGGCGCTTTCGTCAAGGATCTCGGGGACACAATGCATCGCTTTAGGGGGCGATAGTGCTTTTGAACAGCATCCAGGAACATCCTGGGAATCTGGGGCGAGGGGGCCGATATCGGGTCCTTTCCGGTTTGGGCGTGTGCCGGCCTGAGGGCCAGCCCACTCGGGTTCTGACTTTTTCCGAGCGCCGCGAGTTATTCGCCGCGGTCGCGATCGAGGCCTGCGGCGGCCAGGCCCCGCCCCCCCCCTTGGCCCCGATTGTTAGAGATCAAAGGACCTCAGGGTGCCCCCTTCTTTCCAAGGGCGGCGGGCGGCCTCGGGTTCTCGCGAGATCTCGGACGCCGTGCGAGCGTCCTGCGCATAGATGAGCTGCTCGTCGCGTTCTGGCGCGAGGAGTTTTTCGGCGGCGGCCTCGAGTGGCCCGGTCGAGATCGCGCCCGCGCCCCCGCCCGCCCCCCCGCCCGCCCCCCGGAAGGCCCGAGAGGGCGCGGCGCGGGCCAAGGGCGGCCCAGGCTTCGGGAAGGGCCGCCAGGCCCAGCGCGAGATCACCAGGGACAGGGAAAAGAGTAGAGGAGGAGCAGTAGTCTTAGATCTGTTCAGTCCAGCTAAGGTCTCGGCCGAGCTCGATTGCCGCGGGCTTGGGCCCCCCCGACAGTGGACATCTTAGTCGGGGCGGATCTGCTCTCGCGCGAGGGCAAGGCGCGGCTGCGGCGCCAGCTTGAGGAGGACGCCCCCCTCTTATCGTGCTGACGACGCCGATGCGCAAAGCGTTCCCAGCACCTCGCGCCTCCAGCGGGGGGCGGGCGGGCCCTGTTCTCGAAGCGCGGTGGGAAGAGAGAGGTCTGCGTGGGGATACCTGAGTTTCAGGTTTCGAAGGGGCGCTTCTTCGCGCATCTTCGCGCGGGAACGCCCCGCCTCAGCGAGCTCGTGGAAGCTCGAGTCGACTCGCCGCGTCCTGGGCCTTCCCGGAGTCGGCCGCGAGAGCCTGAGTCAACGCGCGCGCGCTGACTGATTGTTTACGTGGGGTGGGGGGGGGGGGGGGCTCTCCAAGAATGATTTCTCTATCATGTCGAACTCGCTTCCCTGTCTCGCCCGCTGCAAGAAGCGCTGCCCAGGGGGCCGCCCGCGCGCCCGCCTTGTCGGCCTCGCAGGAGCCGGCGCGGCGGAGATGTCCACGGGGGAGCTAGTGATGGGCCTCTCGACCAGGGTTGAGGATGCCGCGCGGACCAGAGCCCCCGCCGGCGCGCTCGCTCCTCCGACGAGGTTTCTTCGGGGGGGGGCAAGTGGGCCTTCCCGCTCGAGGGGCGCGACCCCGAGCCATCTGGGGCCGAGTCCCAGTCTGCGCACCTCCGACCCCAGTTTCTGGCCCCTTGGCCCCGAATCTTCGGTTCTCTCTGACGATCCCGAGAAGGAAGTGGCTCGCCTTCACGTCAATCTGGGGTGCGCCCAGGATGGGGACTTTCTTTTAGAGCGTTCCGAGTGGCCAGGGCTCGCCCCGAGGTTTTGACTCGGGTTCGATACCATTTCAAGTGCGACCAGCGTCTTTCGTATTCGCGTGCGAGCTGGAGGAGGGCCCCCGCGCCTGCGCCTTTGACGAATGGTGGCGTTGGATCTTTTGAACAGTTGATGTTTTGGGTGAGGCCACCCCCGTCCTCGACGTGACTGACCATGGCGCGACTTTCCAGCGGCGCTGTCTCCTCGCCGACGACGCTGCGACATCTTTCTAGGCTGTCTTCTCGCGGTGGCTGCCGCGGCCTTTCGGGCCCCCCGAGATGATCGTGACTGGTGGGGGGCGGGGGGGGGGTCGAAGCCGCGTTTGCGCGCGGGCGCAAGCGAATCGTCATTCTGCACCTCGTCGCCCCTGCGAGCTCTCCTCATCAAAACGGGAAGTGCGAGCGTCGCGGTAGAATCGTCGATGACGCTCTCTCGATGGCAGCCCTCGCCGCGAGCCCAGCGTCGGCGGAAGATCCCGACCTCGTGCTGTGAGAGGCCATGGCGACAGAGAACCGTGGTTTCCATTGGGGAGGGCGCTTGCCCTCGCAATTCGTTCTTGGGCAGAACACCCCGATCCCCTGCCCCTCCTGTCGGGCGACCCCCTCGACTTGATAGGGTCCGAAGACGCCCGCGGACATGGGTGCAGCTGCAGGGGCCTTTACGAGACAGCATCGGATCGGGGGCGAGGTGCGTCGTGCCCTCGCGGCTTTGGACGCCGAGTCCAGGTTGGCCGGGGTCTCCAAGACACGCATGCGCAGCGATCGCGAGTTTCGCCCAGGTGACTGGGTTTATGCTTATGGGCGCATCACAGCCGCCAACAGATCGCTCGCCGCAGCGCGATCGCTGGATGGGCCCAGGCGCAGTGATATACCACGCCGGCGGCACAGTAGTCCGTTGCACGGCTGAGCAGGTCCGCCCGCCGCCCCGATCGGAATCTTTTCGTCGCCGAGCTGCTCGAGAGCTGCGCCTTCGATGAACTTCGCGAGGAGGTGCGGGGCCCCGGGTGGCGAAGCGGGGCCGTCGACGCGGCGGTGGAGGGCCCCCCTCTCCCGGGGCCCTTCGACGCCCCGGACGCCGCGGCGATGCCCCGAGGAGAGCCCTCGGCGAGGACGCTGCCGCTCAAATTTTCGGCGCCCCCGGAGCCCCGTCAGTCTCTGCCCCGCCTCTCCAGGCAGGCGTTGGAGGATGCCGGGCCACCTTCCGCCCAGACCAGTTCTTATACGCCGGCCGAGTTTTTTTCCGTCGAGCCGGCGGCCCCGCCCCCGGCCCCCTTCGGAGGCCGGCCAGACTTCGAGGTCGCGGCCGAGTTCCGCGAGGGGTTCGGAAGGGCCCGGGCCCGAGGGCCGAATGGCCAGCGGGGCCTTGGCTCCCCGGAGTTCTCGCCCCGAGCAGCTCAGGTTGACCCCCGTCGAAGAGTTCGCGGAGTCGCGACCGTCGGTCCAGAGCCAGACCCAAGAGCGCGATCGAGGCTCGCGGGCTCGAGCAGGCCCCGCCCGAGGCCGGGCCTTTGCGTCCGGCTGCGCAGGCCGCTTCCGCGTCGGAGCCCGCCGCTTCGGCAGCTGATGTCCCCGTGCCTGCTGCCCGTCGCTTGGGCTCTGGCCGTGAGATTTCTGCGCTTCGCGCCGGGCCCCCCAGCCGGGCGCCGCCGTCTGCCCCCGATCGAGAGGGCCCCAGGGACCGACGCAGGCCCCCCGAGGGAGACAGGTCGGCTTTCCTGGCCGACGAGACCGCGGAGGCCGGCGAGGAGATGAAGCGGGCGGCGGCGAAGATCTGCGGCCCGGGCGGGATGAGGGCCAGGGCGAGTCCTTGTCTGGCAAGTTGCGAGATTTGTCCTTTCTATCGGATGCCCTTGATTTTGCGTCGTTC